TTGCGTATGGTTGCCCTTCGCCTAGGTACATAGACCTCAGAACTTGAATCACCAGGTGTTGGAAGAATATTGACATTTGCCAATGATGTTCTTGCATATAGGCAGGGCAGAGATAAACGATGGATGGCCAACGAACAACAAGAAACTGTAGACAAGGTGACTGACTGGTGTGCAGAAATGGGTTCTGTCATCAACTCAGAAGAAGCAGCTGTTTTGTGGTGCTCTCTGGACAATAGAATTGTGAGAGCTAATGTTCAAAACCTAACAGTTAATAACAGTAACATCAAAAGAGAACACAAGCTGCGGTATCTGGGTATCATTTTCGATAGAAGGCTGTCCTCCTTGTGGAGGCAGTTGTGGTCAAATGCCAAAAAAATTATGGCAGCAATGGACATGGTACAAAGAATGTTGTTCACAATGTTCCAGCATGTGAGAGATTATGGACTTGGCATGAGTTGATTGATTGATTTGATTTGATTTGATTCAAGAACCGACATCACAGCATTCGGGACATTCCCATACGCGCTCCGTCCCCATCTTCAGCAGCCAGCGAAGAGTTCCGATACTAATGGTGCCAGTAGCATTCTGATTAAATGTCCGTCTTGCCTTTCCTCTGAGCCTTGAGCATCTGAGAGAACCTCTCGTCACCCCCAACTGCATCAATCTCACCAAACTGTGGTGATCCATCTGCACCTCCGAATTGTACACGCTCTCCCACAAAGCACTAACCACGTCTGCCTTATCATGTATCAGTATTCCACCAAGTTGTGTAGAGCCAGCCAGTCTGTCCGCCTGTTCATTTCCCAGCACACCGGCGTGACCAGGTGAAAAAATCCAGACAATACCCCTCACTCGTGTCCTCCGCAGCGAAGCATGCCACTCTGCTCGAAGCATACCTGTTCTGATCTTCCTCAGCATGCTTTCTGAATCAGTTACAATCACGATGTGTGTGTGTGTTGTGTTCTCTAGCCAGAGGAAAGCTGCGGTGATCGCCTCCATCTCCATTCTTAAGCTGGATGTTGTGGTATCATATACTAGGCTCTCCTGCACCAAACGTCGACCATTAACTTTTGCTAAGAAGCCCCAAGCACTTCTTTTGCCTCTTGACACTGAACCGTCTGTGTAAATGATCAAATCCTCTGAGCGAGCATTATATTGAATTAATGGCTGAATTTCCACCTCTGTGGCACCTGCTGGCCAGTCTCTGCATTCCCGGCTCAGCGTGACTATGACTCTACACAAGTCTGACTGTTCAGGTGGTACTTTGACCCACTCCTCTCCTCGCCAAATGTTCTCAAGGATGCAAACCTGTCTGATTGTGTCTTCTGCCTGAGCCGTCCATGACCTCCCTCTTATCAGCCTCTGACCTGGTGGTCTGTGTCTGCAGCTACCCTGAGATATGACTTCGCCTGCAGCACCGTGTGCCTACCTGCAACCGTCGGCAAACCAAGGATGTATCGCATACACACCACTGGGGCGTCTCTAGTGTAACCCAGAATGACCCGCATAGCCGCGTTCTGTATGCGCTCTAGTTTGTCCATCTGCCTCTTTGAGACGGTAAGCAGTCCCAGGCCATAATCCACCGCTGACAGGATCAGGTGCTGAAATAGTGTGAAAAGCATTCTCTGCTCTATGTCAATTGCAGCCATAGTCTTAAGTGCACTAAGTCCTTCTCTGAGTTGAGCTAGGTTAAGAATCAACATAACTGCACTTGGGACCTTCTCATAAACGCCCCCTCCTCATCTTTAGCAGCTAGCACAGAGCTCCAGTTCTGATGATCCCAGTAGTAGTTTATGTGTAAATGTCCATCCTGCCATTCCGCTGCGTGTTCACTTTCGGCAGCACCATCTTATCCAGGCTTCAGTGTTACACTTACTTTTCTGCATTGTTCACTTACTTCCAAAAGCTCTTGATCAGACTTACATTGTCATGCATCAGTTCATCGCCAAATGGTGCAGAACCCTATAGTCCATCTCCATGTTCATTTTTCAACACACAAGCATAACTTGCCGGAAAGATCCACACGATGCTAACCACACTTGCGACCTAAGAAGCTTTCTCACTACTATGCCTGGTCCCTAACAAGAGCACAGGAGAAAAAGATCACGACGTGCGAAATGAGATACTTACGTAAGGCTGCCAATGTCACAAGGAGAGACAGAGTTCGAAACGAGAACATTAGATCAATTGTACGAACCACACCATGCCTGCAATACATAAAGAAGCAACAAATAGAGTGATTTGGCCACTTGATGCGAATGCAAACCGACCAACTGCCTCTACGAGCATACAACGAATAGCACTACTGCCCTAGAGCAAGAGGCAGACCGAGAGTACGATGGATAGACAATATATCAGAGATCCTGAGGCAACACGGACTAACAACAACACGTGCAACACACCTGGCCTAGGATAGAAAACTGCGACTCCCCACTACGCTGTGAGGCAATTGTGGACAAGACAAGACAAGACTACTATGCATGAAGAATGCCTTCTCCACCTGTCTCAGCATGCTTTGTGGGTCTCTTAGTGACATATGTGCAGATGGTTCTTAAGACAGCATAAGGCCAAGCAGTGACTGCCTCCACCCCCATTAGATGTTTCTTTCCCTATACAGTGTTGATAAAGGCAGACAATACTGAATGTTGAATGTTAAATTAAGAATCGCCATCACAGCATTCGGGACACTCTCATTAGTGCTCAGTCCCCATCTTCAGCAGCAAGCGAAGAGTTCCAATTCCGATGGTAACCGTCTGTATATCCGTCTCATCCTTCCCCTGAGTGTTGAGCGTCGGCCAGATCCCCTGGTAACTCCTCGCAGCGCCATTTTCCTTAGACCGTAATGATCTATCTGCATACAATACTGAAGGCCCATGAATCCAAATAAGAAATTTGAAGAAAAAAAATGGTAAGCGGAATAGACCGCTACCATTAACAGTCAGCCTATATTACTTATAATTCTAGTATGCACAGATCTATTGAATCAGGGGGTGAGGAAAAAGTACTGGTGTTGGATGGGTCCCAAAACTGAGAAAACATAATCATATAACTAGAATATCTTTGAACTGGAACCAGCAGGGTCAAAAGATTGGAGCTTCGCTAAGAACCGGCACCAAAGCACTCGCGAATTTCCCATAAATGCTTAATCCTTAACTTCGGCAGCCAACGAATTGTCCAACGAATTGTCAAAATAATAAAGGCAGACAAAACAGAGAGAGAGAGAGAGAGAGAGAGAGAGAGAGAGAGAGAGAGAGAGAGAGAGAGAGAGAGAGAGAGAGAGAGGGGGGGGATAGTGAGTCAAGTGCGACAAATATGAAGGACATGAGGTGAGCTGCATGCCTTTCTTCTCAGCATATACCGCCTATAAACTTCAGCAGAAAGTTCTGATTGTTCATCCACTTCTGGACTGTCTTTCCAGAACTTGAATTTTCGCAGTCTGTTTTGCCTGAGAGTTTCGGAACCATCAGTCTGCATATAAATAAGCTAGATCTGTAACACTGACGTGCATGCATAACGAATTTTGAAACAAGAACAAAGTCTCAGAAGTGGAGGAACAAGAGGAACTGTCCGCCGGAGCTTAGAGATGTTCATTCTACAGGGCTGACCTCGCAAGGATGAGAATTAAGCAGCAACAAATCTCCGAAACCCTGTTTAACCGCATAGCCATATAGGAAACGGACACTGTATTTATATACAGTCACAGAAAGAAGTAGAAAGATAGCACTCCAAGATGACTTAAATTTCCAAAACCATTGTCATCATCAACCAAAAAAAAAAAAAGATGTTTCCGCTGGGGCTTGAACCCAGGACCTTCCGCGTGTTAGGCGGATGTGATAACCACTACACTACGGAAACTACGCTTAAAGTTCTCGTTGCTTAATTTAAATGTTTATCTGGGTATTATATTGGCAGCAGTAACAATAACAATAATTTTAAAAAACGTCCAAGTTCTCAGGGATTCCTGACGACTGTTTATTCCTACGTAGTCATGTAGCACAGTATTAATACAGAAAACGGTTACAAAGTATCGTGTAGTCAAGTTTGGGTGGGATGTAATGATTATGAGTGATGATAATTTAGACGGTGCCAATCAATTATCAATGCAAAAAATAAACAGAAGGAGTGCAGAATTTGGATTAGATATAAATTTGAAAAAGACAAAAACCGTGATATTTTATTTAGCAAAGAAAATAATCAGCTACCAATGAATATCACGGTGAACGGGGTGAAATTGGAACAAGTGACGGCAGAAGTGAAACAGAAATCAAGAAAAGAATAGGGATGGCCAAAAACATTTTCAACAACATGCACAAGTTACTGACATCAAGAGAAATAGGCAATACATTAAAAATGAGAATTGTCAAATGTTATGTATTCTCAACCTTACTGTATGGCACAGAGACATGGACAATGAACAAACAACTGGAGAATCGTATCATTTCTTTGGAGATGTGGATATACAGAAGATTAGGTTTTATTTCATGGAAACACAGGCTATCAAATACAGAGGTACTGAGGAAATTGGGAATGAAAAGAGAGTTGCTAGGTGAAATAAAAAAAGGACAGGTGAAATATTTTGGTCACATTAATTTAATGATTAAAAGACATAACAGTATTGTAAAGATCATCCTAGAGGGAAAGGTTCAAGGTAGGCGAGCAAAAGGCAGACAGCGTTACAAGTGGGAGGATAACATCAAGAGATGGACGAACAGCAGTATGAGTGAGTGTTCAAGGGCAAGAGAAGGGCTTGTTGGAGACCCATTTGCAGCCAACCTTCATAGGGGAGACGGCACCTGATTGATTGAATTGTAGCTCTTCGCAATTGAAAGAGCAAGAAAGATGTTCAAGATGGCGAATGCGGACAATGTTATGTAAGAAGAGAGATATACAGTTACAGAAAAAGTTGTGCATAGCTGAGACAGTTAGTTAGTGCCAGCGACTCATAGTACGCCACGTTAATGTCTCACCTAGAGCACTATCGTAATTTCAGTTTATAAATCATGAAGTCTGTTTTGAAGTTTTGCAAGATAAGTCACAATCACAATTGGCCCAAGGCAAACTGCCCTCTTTTGCCGACCTCTACTCAGTTTCCTGGTGGCAGTTTGAGACATTTTACAGTTCCTTCATTAAGCCACCTCGCAGCAGCAAGAACCTTAGTTGCCTTTGTGCCTAAAAAGACGTATTACGAGGTTTTAGGCCTGAGTCCTTCGGCTACAACGTACGAGATCCGACAAGCCTTTTTGAAGCTGTCAAAACAGTGCCATCCAGACGTAAATACAAGTGATTACGATCTGGAAAATCACAAGAAGTTTGTTCAGGTGAACGAGGCCTACTCGGTCCTTAGCAGACCATTGTCTCGTCGAGATTATGACGCCACCTTGAACACATTTCAAGCACACACCACAACTGCTTATCCACACTACGGATACGACCAACCTGATGCAGGCTCTTACACTTATTATAAAAGCCGTCAGAATGACACAGATTGGACAAAAGCAGAAAACCAGAAGGGAGGGAAAATCCTTACAAGTTTTTTTCTAGTAACATCGTGTTTAACGTGTGCAAGTGTGGCCCTGATACTTAACTACATGCACAACTACATCCCAGATCCAAAATATTCATACTTGAGAAAAAGCAAGCAGGAGGATATTCAACAACATGAACTCATTATGACTTCAGTACATGACGGAAAAGTTATTTATTATTACGCAGTGCCTAAAGCCGACGACCCGAGAAGTTACGAAGTACTTGCGGTGATGAAGAATGATGTCAAGGATTCAGATATGCATGAGTTACAGGAACTGAACCAGTTAAATTATGGCAAACAACAAGCCTTGTGAAAGTCAATTTACACCGCTTCTGAATAGTTGAATGGAGGTTGCTGTGTACTATAGATTACAAGAATATACAAGCCCTAGCATAAGATATCAGAATATAGATCAGCCAGAGATGTGTGTGTTTACATGTTACATTTATGTAACGTTGATCTCTTATTTATGATACACCAAAATTCCTCTGTGTACTGCGTCAACAAGGGAGCTGCCGTGATGTAGCAGCTAAAAGCTCACCTTTAAATCTGAAAGTCATGTGCACAGATCCTGATGGAACCGGACTATTTGGGGAGTCAAAATGGCCTTGGCTGCCAAGTTGACCCATTCTTAAGGGATACCATTTAAAATCCTGGAAAGTAAAGGCGACTGGTGTGATGTTGACAACATCACTCACCAAGTGTTGATTGGTCTATAAAATATAGATCTAGCCCTATATGCCCAAATGGCCTAAAGACATGGAAAAGGGTCCTTTACTGAATCAACACTATTCACAAAGCTGTATTGACCTAAATGGGAACTCCTGAAAACAGTCAATTTTATCACAAGCACAAATGTGTCGGTGTAGATAAGAAAGTGATCACAATAAGAAGAAGATGTATGTATCTTTATTTATATGTACATGTGCATTAAAGGTAAAATAAATGTCAGATCCAAAGCAGATACTGTCGCTGAGTGTTGAAGAGTTAGGCCCTCACATATTATAGGTCACACTTTTGGCCAAAATGGCTGATAGCCAACTGATGTCTGACACTGAAAAATCATTTGTTTACACTGTGAGCTGTGAATTTTATGTGGTTCTGTTGCGGCATGTTGTTAATTGCACTCAAATGGAATGTGACCAGTTACATTCAAAATGGCATGTACTTTTGTGGATACAATGCTGGCTTTTATGATTGACTGTTTACGCCAACAATGTGCTGCAATTCCGGTGTGGGACTGTTAATGTGTTGGCACATCTGACAGTTACCTTATGCATTTTGTCTTTGTGTGTGCAAGCTTCAAGATTTTGTTAGGACTGACACATTTTGCACTAGTTTTCAGAAGAGACAGTTGATATTTTGTCTGGTTTCCACCAGCACAGGTATGGAGCAGTTGCGGGTTGATCTGTCTGCAGTGATGTTGAAACATGGACTGACTAAAGATATTCTAAGCAAATACATAATGATGTGTTGCTGGTGCTCTTCTTCGTCACCTTTTCTTCACAGGAAGCTCTCGGAAACATCCGAAGATTGACTGATACCCTTTTTTATGAGGCTGAGTTGGCACCAGGGCAATTGATTTTGATCTGACATCACTTACTGTGCATTAGTGCTCTAGACTCCAATTAATATTGCAAGAAGAATCTCAGCACAGTGCACTAACTCCCTAGCAGTTCATTTGTGAGGATCCCAGTTTGTATACCAGACTCAAATATTTCTTTTAATGTGTGTGTGTTCTTATGCACATTTGTGTGAGGATGGGGGAGGCTTATCTGATTTTGACATTTAGCCTTACAGTGTGGCCAGTTCGGCTTTTTTTTTCAAACATCCAAATGCCAAGGGATTTTTATCATGCATGTGAGGCCTCCATTTTCCTTTGCCTGAAAATTCTAGAGGGCCCATCCATGACCCAAGAGTCAGGGTTTGGTATACCATGCTTTCCTTATTTTGGAAATGTCTACACAGTCCATACTATCAACTGAACAGATTTGCATGAGTCAGGGCAGAGGTGGATAGGATAACTTGTAATAAGCCACTTCACCCCTAGAACTGTACTGGTGGAAAAACAATATCTCTGCTGGGGTTTGAACCAAGACCACTAACTTAGCAGGCACTAATTCCTAAGCCTCTGCAACTTCTCATATGTGTGAGCATAAGAGAGAGAGAGAGGCTATAGAGAGTGCTTTTAAAGAATATTCTTGTTGCTATAAACTTTCCATCCTGTTAGATGTGAAAGAAGCTAGGTAGTGACACCTGGTAATGGTAATTACAAAGAAAACTGACCCTCCAAAATGCAACATCAAAGTAAACGGGACAAACCTCAAGCAGGTTGATATGTTTAAGTACTTGGTACCCTGATAACATCAGATGGAAGATGTATTAAAGAAGTTAAATATAGAATAGCTCAAGCAAAGGCAGCATTTTACAAAATGCAGAATATTTTATGCAGTCCTTCTTTGTCAGCTGAGACAAGAATGAGAATTCCTAAAAACTATGTAAATCATATCTTGATATACTGCAGTGAATCATGGACAGTTGGTAGATTAGTGAAAAACTGTTTAGAAGCTGCGGAGATGTGGTTTTATAGACGAATGATGAGAATACCTTGGACAGATAAAAAGAGTAATGAGAAAGTCTTGAAAGAAACTGACTCACAAAGAGAACTGATTGCCCAAATTCGAATAGACAGTCTACATTCGTCCACATCAGAAAGAGAGAATCTACATTCTTCTTTGGCCATGCGATAAGAAGGAGAAAACTGGAGTAAATCATGCTAGTAGGAAAGTTGGAGGGGAGGAGAGGCAGAAGGAGACTAAGAAAAAAGAGGCTGGACAGTTTGACATTACAGCATGGTAGATCAACTGTGGGTTTTCCCTGTCTTTCACATATGGTGTGCCAGGAGTCTTTTTTTTTATTATTATTGATACTTGCTTCAGTGTTTGTGCTTTTGTGGTATTTTCTTTTAAATTATTCATGCTCTTGTGTTAAGAGGTTACTATTTTCAATGCCTGGAGTTTTTGACTGTTGAGAATGCAGCAAAGTGATGCCCAGTTTGTGTGTGATAATCCTTTTGTTATTTGTTGCCTTGAAATAAATAATTTTGTTGTCTGGTGACAGTTTGTCTTCCAATGCCGATAATGTAGATTTGAATTTTAAGATCACATGTAACATGGTATGTATTTACAGTTGTATCTATTTTCCAACACATGGGTATTTTCTAACCTTTCTCTGCTTTTTCCTAAGAGGACACCTATTGATTACCCCCCCCCCCCCCCCCCCCCCCCCCAAAAAAAACAAGATTGTTTGACTGTGTTCTGGTTCATAGGTAACACTACTTTATTTGGAAGAATCGGCCAGGGTTGAAGTACTACTCAAGATGCACTATGATGACTTACAAATGACCACGTCACAAATAATGAAGTTTGCCATATCACCACTCAACTCATTGGCAACTATTGGGCGAGGGTCGCTATGTTGAAGTGGTCAAGCCATTTGCCTTGCGCTGTGAAGGTCATAGGTTCCTTTCATGGATGTGTTGTTCAGTTCAGGCTTGCAGTTTTATGGAGATCCCTGGGGATCATCACCGAAGCTTGTGTGTTCGTGCTTTGTGGGATGCTCTCATCAGGCGGCTAGCTGTTCTGTGGAGAGAGACTAAGCCCCATATGAGATCAAATCAGTGCAGTGATGTTGATTCTCTTAACTTTAACATTACTGACAACAGTGGACCTCTTTTAGCAACCTTAATAAGATTGAAAATGCAGGGGTACAGACACATAAACAAGATCAATTAGCCATTCCAAAATGATTTGAATGGCAGAGGAGGAGAGAACTGATCAGACTGTCAACAGCAACTGATGACCCAACAACACACTATGTTATGGAACTCTGATAACATGAAAGAAATCTCATGTATTTTCTGATATTATAGTGTGTATGTGATATTTATATAACTTATTAATATGGATGTGTGATTTCATAGAGAATTCAATGTAGTATAGAAAGGATCATAGTGGATTATTGTTTTGTTTTACTATTAGCTTTTTAAAATTCTCTTGTGCCTTACTGGGTTCAGAGAGAGAGAGAGAGAATATGTGTGTGTGCGTGTGTATAGTAGGTGGCTGTATGTGTGGAGGGAGAGGGGGCGGGGAACAGGCAAAAGATGTTAGCTGTCAAAGAAACTGAATTATATGGAATCTGACTTTTAAATCTGCTAAATCAGATCAAAAGCACACACATACAAATAGTACATTGCTACCATAAACTTAGAAATTGAAACTTTTCTGAAGTGATATTTTATTTTATCGTTTCCTTGTGACTGCCTTTGCTAACACCATTGTGGGCTCAGCTAGAGACTACACCTGGCTACTGATAGGTGTCTGGTTGAATCCTGCTGTTCCAGTGTGGGTTCTGGGGCCCTTATTGTGGAAAAAACAAGAATAGACCCACTGCCTGCCCATCAGGTATGTCATAGGAGTCGAAACATTAGGGGCTTCCTTCGAGGTCAGAGTACATCTGCCAGAGAAGCAAGGAACTTAATGCCTTCATACAAATAGCTAGATCTATGAAACGGATGTGCACGCAACACTCAGATTCTGGAACAAGACTAATAGTTCTGAGGTGCACAAACACCTGGAACTTTCCGCCGAAGTCTACTGTCGGTGAACACTAATCTTGCTCTGAAGGTCATTGGTTGATTTCAGAAATGCATTGTGTGGTTCACAGAGCACTTTTTTCAATGGAGATGCATGGGGAATGCAACTGCAGCTGTAGTGACGTTCTTGCCAGGTGGTTAGCCGTGCTGCAGAGAAAGTCCGAGTCCCTTGGGATACACTTGGTGCAGCGAAGGATATCCTTTCAGCTTTATTTTGACTTTAAACTTGTATGTTTTTGTTTTTTTCCACTTTACATTCTTAAGTCAAGCAAATATATTGCACAATTACTTATGCATTTTGTTAGAGTTTATCATATTAACTGAATACTTCAGAAATTCAAATATAATTAATTCCATTACAAAGCAACACAATGAATCAATAAAGCTGAAATGTACAACAGATATAGTCCAGTGTTTCAGTATACAACAGATATAGTCCAGTGTTTCAGTATACAACAGATATAGCCCTGTGTTTCAGTATACAACAGATAAAGCCCTCTGTTTCAGTATACAACAGATGTAGTCCAGTGTTTTAGTATACAACAGATATAGTCCAGTGTTTCAGTATACAACAGATATAGTCATGTGTTTCAGTATACAACAGATATAGTCCTGTGTTTCAGTATACAACAGATATCAGTTTATCATATCAACTGAAT